TATACAGGCCTATATATGTATATTCAAGTAATAATAACATTGTTGTAATAATACTTTCGACCATAAGTTATCATTAGGTGTATATATACATATATAATAGGCCTATATACTGCAAAGATAAGTCAAAGGTCGATAAAACAGTTTCTGGTTGATATTGAGAAATTATCCTGTTAGAGTATAAATGTGCATATTGTAAATATTTTGTTAAAAAAAGCAACTTTATACGACCAGTGGTTCCCAAGATACCGTATTACAATCACGCAAAGTTAAGGTCAAAGGTCAAAAACGCAATTTTTGGTCATTTCTAGAGAAAATTGTCCATTATAGTAAATATAAATATGCATGTATTAAACATTTTGCTGCAAAAAGCAACTCTGTACGACCAGTGGTTTTCAAGATATAGCTCCCTATATTTCCACCTATTTATGCTAATAAGGTCGGCAAAATGGCACTTCCGTTCATTTTTGAAGGAAATGTTCCATTAGGGTAAATAGAAACATGCATGTTCTGAACAACCTTAAGAAAGAAGCAACTTTCTACGACATGTCGTTACCAAGATATAGGTACCCTACATTTTCAGACCTAATTTGCATATTTCAGCTAATTTGCATATGAAGATGAGCGTAACAAAATTGGCGACTCATTTTATTCGATTCAGCATACTTCAGCATATAATTAAAAAAAAAATGATCACGAAATTCCCACGGGATGACATAAGCCACCGGACTAAATTGCAAAATAAGGAAGTCGTGGGCCGCCAGCCCAAGCCTTGGCTGGTAGCCAAGGGGACCGCCTAGGGCCTCCGATGGGGTCCCTCGCAACTAAAGCCCTAAAAGTCGTATAATTGATTTTAAGGAATGCAATTATACTTATTGCCACACTACATTTTCCAAATACAGTGGCGGATCCAGGCATTCGAAATAGAAGGGGCCCAGTGAGGGATTTTTTACAGATGGAGTATGCCACCTCAGCCCCACCATGGTTGGGACTGAGGTAAGGAAACCTCTAGTTGGCAGGAAATGGCACTCTCAGACTTAAATTTGAATATAATTTTCTCTTTTCTCCACTTTTTAAATTTTGAAAAAAATAGGGAGGGTGATGTGGCTGGGGCTCCCTTCAATCTGCCACTGAAATACTCATCATAAACAGTTTTTCAATTTATCCTGGTAATCGTAATCATGCCAGCTTATTTCGTGCAAACATTCATAAAAATAATGATTTATTATCTATTGATTAGCTTCTGGCGCATTCGAACCATGAAAAACAAATAAGATAAACTTAAAAACAGACACTCTAATTTAGTCTTTTTGCACGCACAGTACGTTTAAAATCAGTCAATAGATTTTCTCTTTTCTCCTCTTTTTGGATTTTACTTTTGTGCAAGTAGTATTGCGACTACACTGTTGTGAGTTGAACGAAATGCTACCTTTTAATTTACGATCAAATAAGACTCAGGGACGGATCCAGAAATGTTCTGACGGGTAAGCTGGGGGCCCATGTACCGTAATCCATTTTTTTTTAAAAGAATTTTAAGTCCATTATTTACTTGGAGTCGCAAAGGAAATTATGATTATGGCACCTCTAGATGCCGGGAAAAGGCACTCATTCAAACATAAAGTTTGAATATTTTATCTCCGTTTAAAAAAAAAGTTGTCAGATGTAGGGGGTCCTGGCCGGTTGGGCATCCCATACCCACTGGGTAAATATGATATAAATGTCCTACAGTCGATGTCACAGATACATTATGCTGTTATGCATCAACAAAGCATTTTTCGATCAGGTTGCTATAGAGCGAGGACCTTATGGGAGGGGCACCGAATGGGCTCCTCCTAGGGGTCGGTGGCCCTGTGCATAGGCGTTACGCCACTTAGCATACCTGCTGGGTACTACATTCCGCAATAATGGTTTTAAAAAAACCCGTCTCAGGTCGCTGTGTTTTGGCCTTTTTTACATCCTGATGTATGGAATCGCGGGAAAAAAAAAATCGGCGTCAGGGATATAGCATTGTGTTCGTCGTCAATCAATAGAAAATTCAAAATCAGTGAGTGGTAAAATAATCGAGCTCTCCTTTTGCCCACTTTTAGGTCCGCCACTGACTGGGACTGACTGACGGGGTTGGGGGCGACGGCTCACGTCCCCCTCTCCCGCTGGATCTGGCTATGCGACTAGGGAGATAGGGAGCACATATAACTATAGTTAGCATTTTCATTTCACAAACATAAATGTGATACTCAATTTTTCAATACCATGACGTCATGGTGAGATTGTGTCGACATAAAATCGGAGTTCATAAAGTTGTGGTATCAGTACTTAAAAAAGTCAAGGTATATAGACTTATCCTTGTCAAAGGCTGTATAATTATTGTTTGATAACTGCTATATAAAATTCATTTGACTAACTATATATATTTTTTTTAATTAGGAAAAATAGGAATATATGTATACAGATAATATTAAACACTAGTATACACGGGTCTTAATAATATACAAAAGGAATAAATCGTTTATAGTAAAAAATGTGCAATTTGATTTGGTAAAAACGTTGGCTTAATATGTTTACACGCTTCCAATTTTAACAACGTACAATACATCGATGGAGTGGTTACTGAGATGGTTACGAAATGTACAACAATAGCATTTTTACTCGGTTTTGGAACAGAGCTTGGAACAGAGCATAAGTGAACAGACAAATAGACAGTCATTCGTAATTGTTGTTGTTCTTTACACTCGCTTTGAAAAGTAGGGTTTTAGCTATAGAAAATCGGTGAAAAGTGGGGTGGGGACAATTGATACGATGTCCCACCCCCACCCCCCGCCCACTTTGAAAAGTTGGTGGGGGACGTGTCCCCCTTGTCCCACACCGATTGGCTTCCATGGTTAGAGTGCATTTCAATACTTAGAGTACCTATGTATTATACTTTCTTATCTGACATTAATTAGTGGACCTTTCGGTTGTTGGAGTTTGGTTCACATGAAATCAGCACTGGACTTCTGTTCATGTTTTGTGGATGAACATTACATTAATAATTTTTTTATAAATTAATCACTATTTCTGTTACACATTCGAAAGATATTATGCAAGCAGAAGCTGCACAAAGTCCACAAATAAAATATGTGCACTGAAACGGTATTTATAACACAAGACCTACCGAGCCTACAATCCAAATTAAAAACTAAATGTGTGACCTTTATCCTTTTAAAATGTTAAGTATATGCCTTTGCACTATAATTTTCCCTGTGGTTAGTGACGAACTGGACAAAAATAACGCTTTTTCAAATTATTTATATTTAAGAATTATACGATTTTATTATGGCAACAATATTATAGTTAAAACCAATTAATTTGTTTCACACTTAAAATGTTTTACAAATAAAACATTCATATTATGTTATAGCCTATATACAACCAATAGTTAGTTTTATTTTAAAACATACCGTAGTATTCTTATTTTTAAAGTATAAAAATACATTTTAAATTATATATAATATACATTAACTAAGTAAAACAATAACTTAAACGTGGACATAATATTTACTACAATAATAACATTAACATTTTCAATCATATAATAAATTTTATACAGCCGGTGTTATGTATTGACCTAGCCTACTATGGCTAGCGACAGGTAGGCCTACGCTTTCACCATAAAGGTTGTTTCTATGAATGGAATGACCTGTACGAAGCATAAGCTCCTGTAGACCAAACCAGTGGTGGCGCCAGGATTTACCAGACCGGGGGTTTGAGGTCCCCGAGGGGGCGATGCCCCGACGAGGGGTTCGATTTTCCAGACGAGATCAAACGAATTATATTTGTTATAATTATCAATTCAATTCAATACAATTCACATAAACATTTATTTCTTCACACAATATGATAACAAATGATAAACAACATTAAACAGCCGGATTTCATTAAAAAAAAAAAAAAGAAGAAGACTTGTGTGAAAGAGGGCACTGCTCAAAAAGTATACGCCCAATGACAAAAAGAAAAAAACATTTATCAAGTGGCACTTGTAACGAGCGACCCATATGATTACGAAAGAATATACTTATTTGATATAAATTCATAAACGAAACAAATACAAAACACGGATACAACACGGAGCAGATGGGGGAAGGAGAAATGATTAGGCAAAAATTTGTCAATATTATAATAAGGATATTAGAAAAATAAACCTTGATTTTGATGTGTTTTAAACATATTTAGATAAGAGAAATTTCTTGACCTTAAAAGAGAAAATTTTCCTGGAAGGGGAGAATATAATTTCAATGGGGGGTTTCATTAAAAAGTTTGGAACCACTATATCGAATATTGTGTTGGAGTAAAGTAAGTTTGGGTAGAGGAAGGTGAAGGTTGTCACGAATTCTGGTGTTGTAAGGATGTAAATCTGAGTTTTTAAAGAAGGGGAAAAGGTTAGTAGGGAGAAGGGAGCTCTATAATAAATCCTATAATAAACATAAATTTGTTCATCTATGTCTGACGTGCTGCTAATATTATTCAAACAATTTTTTATTCACTCCTTTAGATATTGTGCAAAATTGTTCTAGTGAATCTCCAATACTTCTTCATTGTCAGTCATATCTGGATGATGTTGGAGGGAGTAGATCTGCTAATGACAGTACATAATAATCTGCGCCACAAGAATCCAAATACTAGTGTGTACATTGCGTTTGGTTGGGGTAAGTTCTGTAGCAGAGAAATATAATCTTACATCTTATATTATTTCATCCAATATTATTCCATTATATTATATCATCCAATTCAGACAGAGTGACGTTCCTGTGAAACACATTTGGGTCGGAAATTGATATTGTTGCGCGAGTCCACATTCATGAGTTCAATTCAAAACCTGGAATTACATTGTTTTATTTGCTGGTTTTGGGGTGTCCTTTACTGAACTGCCCTGTTAAAGAGTACTGTTCACTAGTAAGAAGGGGTCCTTCGGAGCCCCTTTGGGCTGGGGCTCGAGGCTTTGCCCTCCGAAAAAATTATTAGGTCTTGCACCACTGTTCAGACAGCATGGTAGACAACACCTGACGCGATTTATTAAGCTGCATTTACACTAGACATGATAACGACACGACAAAAATGAGCTCATTGTTAAAGAATATAAACTACGCGATGATATTTCGTTGTCGTGTTGTGTCGCTTGCAAAGAACGGAGATGGGTTTATCGGTAGATAGTCGCCTACGACTGTCGTGCGTCAAAGTGTGTCCGGTCTTAAACAAGCGACGACATTGCGTTGAGGACGTAAAAGACAGTTCCCGATGTGTCGGGCTGATTCGTTCAACCATGGTTCAACGCTGTCTGTGTTTGGCGTTAACGTTTGGTGTCTAGTTCTTGGATGTACATAATTAATTATTTCCTATGAGGTCTATTTGCCAGTGTTTTAACCGTTACTATGACACATATCTTATTTGTCAATGCATGGTGTGTGTACATGATGCTTTATAACAATTGTTTTTATTTACAGTAATGCCATTATGCATAGTTGGCTGCACGTTTCTTATTGATTCGCCTATTAACAGTACGAACGACTTGTGAGTAATTAACTTTACATTATTGTTAGCCAATTGATATAAGTTTACCTTCATCATTTGTGATGTTTTAATATTTAGAAGGGGATTAACAAGAATGTAGAGTGCTTATGTTGATGGGGAAACGTAGGCGGGATTTGGTGACATTCAGTTAGCTTTTTAAAAATATGAGCAAGACGGGGCGAGAATAATAATTATGTTAAATAAGATTCAATCTATGGACACAGAGTTTACAGTATAGGTCATTAAAGGAGAGCCTGTAATAATAACCTGTTATAATATCATGTTGGTTGGTGAATTAGTTTGTGGAAACTTTTTTATAGACCTCAGACAGTAAAATGTACAGTAGATAAACAGGTCTAAATCCACACACAATCATATGCATCACATAATTATTGTGCAATATAACAATACTATAATAATGTTATAATACTAATATAATATTATAGTATTATTCTTATATTATAACAATACAATGTAAAAAAGAAAGAAAATCACAGGATTAATTTTCAATTTTACTTGCTTTTGTAATTTCACTTTCAAGAACATGCTCACTTGTTAATAGGATATATAATATCAACTCAACCTGGAACAATTTTTATGAAGATCTTCTTGAACTTAAACGTATCTTACAAAATAATTGTTATCCAAATGCACCAACTGACAATTCAATCAGCAAATACATAAACAAACGGCATGGCAAAACATAATGAAAATAATAATAAACAAGAAAATATCTGTTATTCAAAATGCCGTATGTCCGATAATTCTCAAAAAAAATGCATCAACGACATCACAAAGAAATACTGTAAAGATTTACACATTAAAATCTTTTTTGACTCATTCAAGGTTGGTAAACTAATTATTAAACTATTTTCGAGGTTACAATTGAGACCTCAATTTTAACTCTTAAAATGGGAGCAGGTGCTCCCAAAAATATGTTTAAAAAAATTAAATCTATGCTTCAAAGTAGTCACTTTCTGAAGAAAGTTATTTCTTTTTTGTCTACTTACTTTGATTATATTGAAGCATACATGGATAGGATATCTTTTGG